TGGCGTTGCGAAAAAACGTGACGGGAGGTTTTTCCATACTTTCGGCCTCTGGGTGCCCCTACCAGGCCTCGGGGCCGTCCAAAAACGACTCAGGATGAAAAGCCGGCCCCGGGGAATGGGTCCAGACCTCTGGGGGTCGACGTCATGACAAAAATCATTACGTCGGGGGTCTCGGTCGTCGGCATGGCCAGATTTCTCTTCGGAGTCTTGGTCGGGAGGCGCGCTTGGGAGAGGCCCTTTTTGTTTAGGGGACCACGTGCGAACCCTACCCCCAACCCCCCACGATCTCTGAGGGGGAGGATGGGATTCACTTCGCTCTGGAGCTCCTGTACAGAGTGAACCCCGCCCTCCCACTCAGAAATCGTGGGGGATAGGGGCAGGGTTCGCACGCGGCCCCCTACTGTTGCCACCAGGCTTCGGGGCTGTGCGAGGGAGCTGGGCCTCTCCGCGGGGAGGCGGCATGCTCAGCCTCGGCGAGCTCCTCTCGCCGCCCCCTGTCGAGCTCAGCCAGGAGGCTCCGCGAGAGCGATGCAGGGCGCTCCTGGCGCGTCCTCCAGAGCCGCCAGGATTCTCAGAGGTCCCCGCCCCGTCCTTGGTCCGATGCGGTCCCTGTCCTGTGGCTCCGTCGTAGCAAGCCCTCTGTCCCCGTGAGGGTGGGGGGGTCGCTGGCCCAGGAGTGTGCCCCAGGAGGCTTCAGACCCTGGAGGGTCCCTGGCTCCGTCGTAGCAAGGCCTCCGTGCCCGTACGGGGGAGGGGGGGGGCGTTGGTCAAGGAGTGTGCGCCCAGGAGGCTTCAGACCCTGGAGGGTGTCTTATCCGAGGAGCGTGGCGGTGCTATGCGATGCGGCCGGTGCACGAGTGGAGCTCCACCGTCTTCCAGGCCCTGGGTTCCTCATCCAACGGTTTCTGGTCTCACTGCCATCACCGTACCCTCTCTCCGCCTCCTCCCCCTCCTCCTGTGTGCAATGCGAGCGCGGTCCTCGTTACTTGACAGCCTCCCGACAGCGGGGACGAGGATCCCGCGGCGTTCCCGAGGCAACCGAGACCCGCGTCCAACCCCGTATCCGTCCCTCAGGCCCCTCCTGAGAAAGTCTTCAACAACGACCACACGAATCAGTGAAGATGCGCCCGTCTCCGAGATCTTTCACGTGCCGATCAGCACGAAGGAGGTCTGACTCAGAAGGCTCACGCTGTGTGTCTGAACTCTGCGTTCCGATGGCTGCGTCTGCTCGAGCGGGGCCCTCTTTCAGCACAGACCTCTGATGACACCGATCAGACATCTTAAGAACAAACACGCCGAAGTTAGTTGACTCCAGATCTCGCTCAAGAAATCAAGAATCTGACCTGGACCCTGGGCGTTCTTTTGGAGCTCCTCTCCTCCGTAGAATGCTCGTATGCGTGGACCTGGACTACTGGTTAAGAACACGCTTCTAGTGAATCCCATTTTCTTCGCCTAGGGGTGTAGGGCTGTAGGGGTGTGGTGAGGTGAGGAGGTGAGGAGGTGAGTGATGATGATGCTGATGATGCTGCTGATGATGCTGCTGCTGATGATGTTGACGATGCTGATGGTGGTGATGATAATGGTCATGGTCATGGTGATGACGGTGATGGTGATGGTGCTGCTGTTGTTGCTGCTGCTGCTGATGATGATGATGATGATGATTATGATTATGATGATGATGTGTGATGATGGTGGTGGTGGCATAAGGACACGATGACACGACTATGAAATTGTTGCTGATGCTGCTGATACTGATGCTTGTAATGATGATGATGATGATGGTGGTGGTGATGATGCTGATGATGCTGATGATGATGGAGGCGGTCATGGTGATGTTGATGATGATGCTGATGATGATGATGATGAGGATGTGGATGAAGATGATGCTGTTACTGCTGATGATGATGATGACGAGCATGATGATAATGAGGATGAGGAGCAGCATGATGATGATGCTGAGGATGAGGATGAGGATGCGGATGATGCTGATGACGATGATGATGCTGAGGATGAGGATGACGATGGTGATGAGGATGAGGATGATGATGATGATGATGCTACTGACGATGATGCTGCTGCTGATCAGGGTGGTGATGCTGATGCTGATGATCTTGATGATGGTGTCGATTACGATGTTGTTGATGGTGATGGTGCTGCTTCTGACGATGATGCTGATGCTGATGCTGCTGATGATGATAAGGATGCTGCTGATGCTGATGATGATGCTGTTGCTGCTGCTGATGCTGATACTGACGATGATGCTGCTGCTGATGCTGATGATGCTGCTGATGAGGATGAGGATGAGGATGATGATGCTGATAATGAAGATGATGCAGATGCTCATGATGATGATGATGCTGATGATGATGATGATGCTGATGCTGATGCTGATGCTGATGCTGCTGCTGATGATGATGCTGATGATGATGATGATAATGATGATGATGATGATGATGATGATGATGATGATGATGATGATGATGATGATGATGATGATGATGATGATGCTGATGCTGATGCTGATGCTGATGATGCTGCTGCTGCTGCTGCTGATGATGATGATGATGATGATGATGATGATGATGCTGATGATGATGCTGCTGATGATGATGACGATGCTGATGCTGCTGCCGCTGCTGCTGTAGGTCTAGTAGAGGAGGAGGAGGAGGAGGAGGAGGAGGAGGAGGAGGAGGAGGAGGAGGAGGAGGAGGAGGGGATGAGAGGCCCTAATTCTCTTACCTCTTAGCAGGGGTGCTGTCCCCTCCGCCCCCTCATCCGCCCCGGCTCGACCCGCGTGCCAGCTGTGGCCGCCGCCTCCTGCCCGCCCCCGCGGCGCGCGCGGAGGCGCCCCCCCCCCCACCCCCCGCGGTGGGCGGGCCGAGCCTGCGAGAGCCTCCTCCTCCTTCTCCTCCTCCTTCTCCTCCTCCTCCTTGTTCTCCTCCTCCTCCTCCTCCTCCTCCTCCTCCTCCTCCTCCTCCTCGGCGGGCCAGCATGGAGCGCGAGGCGATTCGGCCGGGCTCAGGAGTGGCCCTTTCCCTCGGAGGAGGAGGAGGTACCCGTACCTCTATCCGCTTTTCGTTATCCCCTGTTCGGGCCTCCTGGGAGGCCTTCGTCGCTACCGCTGATTTCGCCTCGCGATCCTGGTCAGAACGCACCCCGGGAGAGGCCCAGGGAGTAGCGGTATCGGTACCTTCTGGTTTCCGCATTCCCTCAGATCCAGGCGTTGTATTTGCTTGACACTTGGCGTTCTTGCCGGGCTTCGGGCCCCCGGGCCCTCACAGGTTGATCCGGCTCGAAACATGAGGCAGAAAGATGGGGATTCGGACTCTGGTCTTGATTTTTGTTACGATGTTGTGATTTTTGTCGCAACGTCGGATCTGAGGGTTCGTCGGTTGGCCGCGCGTACAGTGGGTTTGGGACAGGGGGGAGGCTTCTTAGAAGACGCGGGCCTTGTCTACGGATGTAGGGCCAGCACCTTCTTAGAAGCAGCCTCCTGAGAATTCTCGCCCCTTCCACCTAGCCCCCCCTGCACGCGCCGCTAAGTCGGAGTGACCTCTGTCGGCGACCGCTGAGGGTGTGGCTGCGCCAGGGGTAGGGCTTGCGACCTGCGTCAGTGGAGCCTGGGTGGTGGGCATAACACGTTGCCCTCGTCGGGCCTCCCCCGGGGTGCGGGCTGCAAGCCGCACCCGCTGCCCACCACGCCCCTCGGAGTCGCCGCCTCTGGTGCGTGCCCCCCCCCTCCCACGGCCCCCCCCCCCCCTCCAGCAGATGGACAATCTGTCCGAACCCTCACACCACATTCGAGGGAGATTCTCAATCACCTCTTGATCTCAGTCAAGGCGGTGCTTTGGGGTTCGAACATTTCTGTCCACTCACGCCCCCCCCCCCGTCGCCACGCCATCAATCTCAATTTCGGGGGGGTCGGGGGGGCATCTTGGGCCACAGGGTGCGAATGTAATGTTCAAAGAACGCACTCGCCCCCAGCTCTGGCCCTGCGCGCGTGGACTTGGCGCCCCCGCGGGCCAGGGCGAGGCCGCGCACCAGCCAGAGGTCGCCCCTGCCCGGGGGGGCCACGCCTGCGCAGCAGCCGAGCCATGATGGCGCAGTTCCGGGACTCGCAGGTGACGCCCAATCTGGAAGAGCAGAGCGCGGCATCAGCATCAAGGCGGGCCTGTCCCTTCTCTACCGGGGAATCTTCAGGAATAGTTACAAGATAGTCTGGGGACGATTTTTGTTTTAAGTATTGCTTGATCTTGTTTTGTGCGTTTTTTTTTGGATAATATTTTTTCGTCCAAACTCCGCCTGTAGGGGGACATGCCCGACCTAACATCGGCATCCGCTTCCGGAGCTCCGCGCGCATCTCCCGGACCGGCGCCAGGGACCCTCGGAGCGCCGCCCCCCCCCGTGGCACGCGGGCAGGGGCGCGGCGCCGACCCGAGAGAACTCTGCGCGGACCTCCGGCCAGTGCTACGCATCGGTTGTTGAAGGGAGGTCTATTGGGCTGGCCTCCGGCCAGTGCCGCCGATCCCGGGGGGCTCCGGAGGTGGAGTTTTCTCTACCCCCCTGTCCCCGGGGTACCGAAGAACGTCGGAAATGACGTCGGAAATATCCCCGCGTGCCGAAGAACGTCGGAAATGACGTCGGAAATAACGTGCCCCCCCCCCCCCCCCCCTGCAGAGCGAAGCTTGAGCGAGCTCAAGTCCACGCTCTCGGAAACTCAAACGCCGAATCCGCGGATTTTTGGATTCCCAGCTTCCAATCTTTTTTGAGCGCCTGCGATCGAGTGGCTTCACATTCTCCGTCCTCCTTAAGGGGGGCGGACGGAACCCAATCTATGTTCAGCGTCTTCCTACTTCATTCTTCTACCTGCTTTTTCCGACCGCTGGTCTAGACAGAGCTTCCTTCTGTGCTTCTGGACTCCCGGGCTCGCCGTCGGCGATCTCTTCGGCGTCGAGGGCCGGGTGGCACTGGTCACGGGCGGCTCCCGCGGCATCGGGCTCATGATCGCGAAGGGCTTGGTGGCGAACGGCGCGAGGGTCTACATCTCGGCCAGGAAGGCCGAGGTGTGCGACCGGGTTGCCAAGCAGCTGAACAACATGGGGCCGGGCACCTGCGTGTCGCTTCCCGGCGACGAGCTCAACACCGATCAGGCCTGCCGAGCCCTGGCAGCCAGACTGGCGGAGCGCGAGGGCGAGCTGCACGTCCTGGTGAACAATGCCGGCGCGACCTGGGGCAGCAGCTTCGAGGAGTTTCCCGACTCGGCGTGGGGCAAGGTGATGTCGCTGAACGTGGCGAGCGTCTTCAACCTGACTCGGGCGTGCTATCCACTGCTGAAGAAGGGCAGCCGTGGTAGCCTGGACCCGTCCCACGTCATCACGGTCGGCTCGATGGTGGGCCATCCGACGGCCGACGTCTTCGACAACGCGCCGTCCTATGCGGCGAGCAAGGCCGCCGCAGCGCAGGTGACCAGATGGCTCGCGTCGAAGTTCTGCAGGGACGGCATCGTGGCAAACTGCATCCAGCCCGCCGCTTTCCCTTCTAAGATGACTTTCGACTACTTCTTCAAGGACGAGAGAACGACGGAGATGGTGAAGAACACCCACCCCGTCGGGCGCTACGGCGGCGAGGCAGACATGGTGGGGCTTGCCATTTTTCTCTCCAGCAGGGCCTCCGCCTTCGTGACCGGCGAGACCATCTGCCTCGACGGCGGCAGGTGCCACATCACGGGGGCGACGGCGCTCCCGCCTGCAAGCCTGTGAGGTGGCGGCGTGCCTCGCTCTCTCTCTCTCTCTCTCCCTCTCTGTGCTATGTATGATCTATATAGATAGATATCCATTTCCGTCTGTCTTCTTTTTTGTTCTCGCTCTCCCTCTCTCTATGCCTCTTCTATCAGATGGAGAAGGGGAGCTTATGATATCTTCCCAGCCACGCGCAGAGGGGGGCAGGGGGAGGGGGGGAAGGCTTCTTAGAAGGAGCCTGCTTCTAAGATGGCGCGGGCCTTTTCTATAGATGCTGGGCAGGCGCCTTCTACGAAGCAGCCTCCTAAGAAGCCCCCCCCCCCTCTCCCCCTACCCCCCCTTCTGCGTGCCGCCAAGTTTTCAAATTAGTAGAGTTACCCCGTAGAGGAGGGGGAGGAGGGGGATGAGCCCAAGGAGCTGGTACGTCTTCGAGTGCCGCCCCAGATCCTGACCCCTGGAGTTCCTGGGACGTACCAGCATGTCCCTGGAGGCCTCCTGGGGCCAAACCAGAGGGCAAGCAGCGCCAAACATCTTCGACCCTCGACGGTCGTGGGCAGCCTCGCCATGAGGACTGTGGACAAGGGCCAGGCCTGTGGACAATATGTCGATACCGCTGCCCTCCTGTCGTCACTACGAAGGGATTCGCTCGGAAGTCCTGGAGAGGCCCCTGGCGTAGCGGTATCAGTATCCTTTGATTCCCCCAGTCCTGCGGCAGGGTGGCCTGCTGACTCCCGAACGAGTTGAACGTGTTCGCGCTGTCTCCCGCTGGCCTCCCGCCCCCGCCTCCTGCTTCCAAAAGCGCCCCTGCAATGGAACAAGTTCAACAGGAGGCGCAGGAGCAGGAGCCTGGGGTGCTCTCAGGATCGCGGACCTGCGACGCCTCTGTCTGCTTTCGTACGACACAGGTTTAGACCACTTCCCTGTACAGTGCCGTTTTTAATACATGCTCCGCGTGCGGATCATGTATTATAAATGCAGGGATTTAGTATCAAAAACAACGATGCATTCATGCATACAGTTATTCATACATTAGTCATGTATTAAACATCCGATATATAAAACAATCCCATGTGTTAGAAACTGCCCTTATACCGTCCCCTTCATCCCGAGTAGTTTCTGACGGTTCGCGGAGCTCGGTGAGGGCCCTCCGAGGCCGAAATCGGCCACGCACTTCCCGTCGCGATGTCTTCGCGACGCGGGGAGGTCTGGCAATGTGCCCGCGGCCAGCAGCGACACGCCCGGCCGAGGGCCTTCCCTTCGGCGCGTGCGCCGGCACCAGAGCTCGGCGCGCGCGCGCCAAGATGCGCTCCTGAGGCATCGGCGCTCGAGCAGAAGCGGCGAGGGGGGCCAAGCGGACCATCGGGGAGGGTGGGACGGAGGAAAAGGAGGAGGAGGGTAGGAGGAAGGACAGGAGGACGAGCACGTGGCAGAAGGGAGAAGTCTTCCTCAGGGCCGCCGCCACCGACGAAAGCCTGACGCTCAGCAAAGGCTGCAGCGGAGTCCACAAGAACCTTGCTAGGCCCTCAGGCGTGGCTCGGGTGTTGCTGACGCGTAAAGCGCGTTCACTTGGACGGACTCGGTGTTGTCGCTGCCGGAGGTCCTTCTGCAGTCCTCCAGCAACCCACTGGCCTGATGACCCCGAGTGATTTGCCCAGATGTGGGGCAAACTGTTGTTCGTCCTTGAGTGCGCTCAGCCCTGTAGTGAGCCACGTGCGGCATCTTAACCACATGGGGTCCGTCCTGAACGAGACCGGTCACGCGGAGATTGCAGCCTGGGCAGGGGCGGCCGACAGGCGGGGCCTCACGAGGAACACCTCTCGCATGACCAGTGCGAGCGTGGCAGCCACCTTTGGCTCGGCGCCCTCCCTCCAGGGGGGACGTGCCGGTGGCTACCCGTGGCACTTGCTGCCCAGGTCTCCGCGCAGGCCGGGGAGGGGGAGGGGGCCGAGGGGGAGGAGGACTCCCCCCGAAGGTCGCAGGCCTCGAGATTGACACCAGCACCAATATCGGCGGCGTGCCTCCACCGAGGGATGAAGATTCCGGTCTCGGTGATGGTGGTAATATTTTGGCTTCCAAGGTGGCCGAAATATTACCACCAGCACCGAAATCTAGGATCATCTTCCCCCTGTGGAGGCAACCCCTCGTGTTGGTGTTGGTGCTAATTTCCATCGGGGGTGGACAGAACCCCCAACAGTGACACGTCGATTAGGGAATTGTCCGTTTTCGGTTCTCGAGAGGGCGCCGTGGCCGTTGTTTTCCAGGCTTGCGCCCGCCAGGTTTGGGCCTCAGGTCGTTTTCACTAAACCACGTTTTACTAAAGGGGGGTCTGTCCATCCCCGATTCCAGGCCTCCAAGAAGGGTATACTCTGCCGAGAGGCCGCTGCCCTGTCAGGGGACCTCGGCGTCGCAGGCTCGGCACGCGGGGGCCTCCACGCCGGGCGCTGCCAGCGCGGTGCGCCGCTGCCCCGCCAGAGCAGAGCAGCGGAAGGAGCGCCTGCGCCTGCCCACGCTGGGCGGCGGGGGCCACGGGGGCATCACCCTGTCTACCTCAGGAAGGGAGAAAACACACAGACACAATGAATCGTCGATTCCCCAGAAACTATGGGAAGATATGGGAAATGGGGGGGAAGACAGAAACCCAGAAAATATGGGAAAATATGGGGATTCCTTTTATTTGTGTGTATTTATTTGTGTGTCCTGGGGCCCCTTGACTACCTGCCGAGGGAAGTCGCGTACGGATTGTTGCAGCTGCTGGAAGGGGGGTCATTCTCCCTCCAATGGGTGCGCTGCACTCTGAGCACCTGCCCTGGCGAAGCAGTCGGCCGCACGGTCTCTTGCGGCCCTCCTCCCAGATTCTGCTGAGCCTTTTCGACGCTCTCCAGGCCCTGATGCGCTTTTACCTTCACGACCTGTTTCCTGGCATGCCAAGGCGGCCTTGCAGTGATCTGTGACTAATGCCCCCCAGCGAGGAACAATGAGTACTTGAGATGCTCAGATGCAGCCTGGGCCTCGAGGCCTATAAAGCCGTTGACATCATAATATGGGAAAGAGCGTGTTCTACCGCTGCTGGCGGAAAACCGGGGGGGGTCACTACTGGTTCGAACCCCTCCCCCCCCCCTCCGGAAAACCGGGGGGGGTCACTACTGGTTCGAACCCCCCCCCCCAGCTCATCATGAAAAGGAGGGGGGGTCACTACCGGTTCGACCCCCCCCCCTCGAAAACCGGAGGGGGTCACTACCGGTTCGAACCCCCCCGGTTCGAACCCCCCCCCCCCCTTCCTCGAAAACCGATGGGGGGGTGCGGACAGTGGTGGGGACGGTGGTGGTGGGGACAGTGGTGAGGGGACAGCGGGACAGTGGTGGGGACAGTGGGACAGCGGTGGGGACTGTAGTGGTGGGGACAGTGGTGAGGACAATGGTGGGAACAGTTGGGACAGTGGACAGTGGTGGGGACGGTGGTGGTGGGGACTGGTGTGGGGACAGGGGGAGGTGGAAACAGTGGGACAGTGGAGGGTCATTGGTGGTGGGGACAGTGGTGAAGGCGGTGGCGAGGACGGCGGTGGGACAATGGGACAGAGGTACAGTGGGGACAGTGGTGGGGACAGTGGGGACAGTGGTGGGAACAGTGGGACAGCTCAGTGGGACAGCGGAGGAGTCAGTGGGACAGTGGGGACAGTGGGGATAGTCGGGCAGTGGTTGGGGCCGTGGAGAAAGTGGGGAGAGTGGAACCGTGGTGGGAACAGTGGTGGGGACAGTGGGGACAGTGCGACAGTGGTGGGAGCACTGGTGGGGACAGTAGGGACGGTGGTGGAACCAGTGGGGACAGTGGTGGTGAGGACAGTGGTGCTGGGAACAACAGTGGGGGATGTGGCGCGGACGGTGGTAGGGACCGGGAGTCGTTTGCTGGCGGTGAGTGGGGGGGTGGGGAGGGGTTCGAACCGGTAGTGACCCCCCCTCCGGTTTTCGAGGGGGGGGGGGGGGGGGTTCGAACCGGTAGTGACCCCCCGGTTTTCGAGGGGGAGGGGGGGGGTTAGGGGAGGGGGGGGTTTTGCCGGGGGAGGGAGGGGGGGGGTCCAGCAGGGGGGGGGATTTTCGGAGGGGGGGGGGGACTCCCGGGTTCCGGAGGAAGAGGGGGGCAATTTTCCACAGTAAAGCGGCGGTGGATCACGCTCTCTCGAATATGGCGACAGTCCATGCCGTCACATGCTCTCTTGTCAGTGAGATGGGCGGGAGACCCGATCCTACGGCGCCGTAAATCACTGCCTGCGTGCTGCCAGCCTCGTCCCTGTTGATCACTGCCCAGCCCGCACAGTGCCACTCAGGAGGCCATTCCCATTCTTTGAAAGCACTCCCGTCCACGAACACCTCACTCTCGAAAGCATCCTCCATCGCCATCTCGTCAGCAGCCCAGAAGGCAGACTCGTCCGAACCGAACGCGCTAGCCCGAGGTGGAATAGCACCTGGCACCATTCGGCATGCAAGTGGGGCAGATGTTTGTTTCGGGCCCCTGCGCGGCATCCAAGACGTCTCCACATGGCAGCTCTGATCGCCGGGCCAGTTGGTTGTCCGTGAGCCAGGTTTCAGGAGGGGAAAACACACAGACACAATGAATCGTCTATTCCCCAGAAAATATGGGAAATTATGGGAAGTGGGGGGGAAGACAGAAACCCAAAACATATGGAAAAATATGGGGAATCCTTTTTATGTGTGTGTATTTATTTGTGTGTCCTTGGGCTCCTTGAAGGTTGTCCCTCTCCGCCCCTCTCTGGCAGTGCAAACTCTCATCGCGCCCTGCATCATGCGACTGCTCGGGCATCCAGATCCCTTGCGAAATGTACGCGTGCAGCACGCCTCGCTTCGTGTGGGCTGAGGGGCCTGCCGTAAAGGGCATCCTGTGCAGGCCCGGGTCCCGAGGCAACGCCTGGTCCGAGCCCATACTTCCTCGGCAGCCGTCGAGGCCGCCGTCCCGTCCCAAGCCTGCTCCTCTAAGGCGCTGCGACACCCTGGGCGGGTGTCGGTCAA